GGGGCCACCAAGAGTCCAATTAATAATCCAGCCCATCAACCAGTGAACAAACAAATTCAGCCTATTTAGCAGCCAAAGGCCCAACATCACTGTGCCATATCTTTACAATAAAAGCTCGAAAGCTGTCCAGTGCATTATCTGCTGCAAGCTGTGTCTGTGATCATGTCCACAATTGGGTTCTTGGAACTCCAAAGGTATAGTTAACATTGAATACGAATTAAACAAATCTGTATCTACTTCATCTGTTTTATATTGTTCTCATCTGTTTCCTTCTTTTATGCAGGGGACTTAGGTGTCAATGGGAGTGTATTCTGATGGCTCTTATGGCGTCCCACCTGGAATAATATATTCTTTCCCCGTTACTTGATAGAAAGGAGAATAGCCAACTGTGCAAGGTTAGAACTCAATACGTTCTTTACAACATGACAATGATCAAAGACTAAAGGGTATAACTCTGTGCAGGGCTCAAGATAGAAGAATTTTCAAGGGAGAAGATGGATGCAACCGCAAAAGAATTGGTCGAGGAAAAATCATTGGCCTATTCATGCCTCAATTGAGAGTGCACTCAATCTGTTTCCATGTCTCCCTTTACTCAAAAGTAAAATAAGACACATTATCTGCTTAGTTAAAGCGTTCAATCTCGGAAGTACTGAGCAATAACATTTGTGACATTATTCATCGGTTATGCTTGTTTATTTTGATGTGACGAGAGACCTTACCTAAAAAAAACTTTCAGAAGGTGTTCAAGGATAGGAACGTGCAGATGCTTGTTACAACTGAAGATAGCGCAAAAGCTTGTGTCTTAGGCAATGCTAATTTACAATCTTCTTATGTCAATGAAAAAAAGTCTCGCAATTCGTGAACTTTGTTCCGAACTTATTTTTGTTGGTATGGCTATTCTCAGCCTTTTAATTTTAGGAATTGTGTACTTGTACATAATAATATGTACATCAAGGTGTCCATTCCCTCACATGGGGGTGGGATCCACTTGGAGATAATATTTTTTATTCAAGTGTGTTCCACCCTCATGTGAGAGGGTGGATACCTTAATGTACATATTATTA